AATGCAACCTATAAAACACTGCACAAAGAAGTATGAAGATTACACAGAATGACAAAAGACACTTCCACGACACACTGGCAAGTGAAGCAGAACAGGCTGCAGGTAGGAGAGACGTGACAACATTATTTCAAATAACCAGGTTACTATCTGGGGATAAATCAACACAGATGAAATCAGTGAAAGATAGTGAAGCGAACTTAGTTAGCAAAGAAGAGAAACCAAGGAAACGATGGATGACCACTTCGAAAAACTCTTAAATCGACCATCAGCTGCAACACGTTCGGAAATTCCATCTAAAGCCATAGAAATATCGGTGAACACAAGCCCTCCAACAAAAACTGAAGTCCTGAACCCTATAAAGTTGCTGGAATCCGGGAAAGCAGCAGGAACAGATGGAATTCCTCCAGAAGCACTGAAAACACATGCAGAGGCAACAGCGGACATGCTCACACCACTTCTGTAGAAGGTTTGGAAGGAAGGAAAGGTACCTTCCAATTGGAAGGAGGGGTACCTTGTCAAACTCCCAAAGAAGGGAGAACTAAGCTGAGTCTTTGCAAAAACTGGCTCGAAATCATTTTCTTATCCACCCCAAACAAAATATTAAGCTACATGATCCTGGAGAGACTAATAAATACTTTGCATTCAAAGTCATTACCATCACAGGCTAGATGGCTGGCATCAACAAGAACAGATCAAATGTGCCCATAAAATTGCAACACCACGCCAAGCTATGCATCATCATAGAACAGAGTATAGAATGTCAGTCAACTCGATCTTTACCTCAACTTCATCGAGTTTCAAAAGGCCGGCGTTCGATAGCATCGACTGAGAAGTAATTTGACAGGCAGCTGCTTCAACACTACGGTTTCACTGCCTCAAACCCTTATCAACCTTATTCAGCAGCAGCTGTATGCTATGCTGTATGATGCTACATACCAATAGGTTCACAATGGAAAGTTCAGTGACACCTTTTAGGTGAAGAGAGGAGTGAGACAAGGTTACAGACTACTGTCACTGATCATCTTCCTGATAGTGGTGAACTGGACTGGACTGGATCATGCAACAGACAACTCTGAAGAGCTGTGAGAAGATGGGCATACGCTGTTCGACCGATCAAAAGAGCCTAGAATATTTGCATTCCCCAGATGATGATTTATGTGTAATGTCTTCTCGCACAACCTCGAAGATATACAGGCGAGAACTAACAAGTTGGGAGAAGAGGCAGGGCAGAGAAAAAAGACGACACTTCCTTCAGGTAAACGTAGAGGAAACATAGATGATGAAGATACACAACCAACAACAACAACAAGCACCAATCAACATCAACAGGAGAAATCTAAAGGAAGTTGTCTCCTTCACCTACCTACCTACATACGTAGGCAGCATCGTGTCAACTACAGGCTGCTGCAGAGATGGGGATGTCAGAGCCAGCATCAGATAGACAGCATGACAGGCCTTCATTAATCTGAAGTCAGTGTACAGATATGCTTCACTGCACTGCGCTCAACATAAACGTGTACAAAATCCGAATTCTCAACACTAATTCAGACGTCAGTGCTTCTGTGTGGTGGTTGAGAGACTAGGCGGCGCGTTACGGAAAGCATTTCCAACAAACTGCACACATACTTCGTCAACAGTGGCCGCCTACGCTCACTCCATACTAGAGATCAGATGACCAGAGATAATAAGCATCAAGGAACTCTAGCTGGCAGTGAGTCAACCAACAACCTGTCGCCCAACAAATATTCAGAAGAAAGCGGAGATGGGTTGGATCGTGCATAAGCTGAGATACGTCGGGGACATCACAAGCCAGGCCGGGACCTCGAGCGGAACCCAAATAGGAAACGACGAGTTGGGCATCCGAGTCGAGGGTGACATGGAGGAGATGGTGTGAGGTAGAAATGAAAGCTACTAGGCAGTCGTGCAATCAGGTTGAGAAGACTGCATAGGAAAGAGTGAAGTGGTGACGAATTAGTGAAGCCCTGTATTCCACTAGGAACTCAAAGGACAAGTAATAAGTAATAATAACATATGAGATGACCAACAGAGATTAAAATGACGTAACCCAAAATGAATTACATTAGGTTTCATCGCCCAAATAGTTCCATCAGTATTTCAAGAATCGTGAAACTGAAGTAGTCCACAAAAGTTATTACTGTTAGTTGGCATACATCACCTATTGGGGTGCAGGTACATCCAGCTGACGAGTCTCAAATGGGCCGAAACACGCATCCTGGATTCCTCCGCTAACCACTAACAAGCAAAGCACACAAAAGTGTTGTTTAAAAACGACGCTAATACTACCAGTCTCGCATCTACAGGAATTAGATTTATGAATATTTCAGAAAGGTCCCTGTTCATTCATTTGACAACCATCTCATGGGGAAATAACTCATACAAAAAGTATGAGGTAATTGGCATACCTAAAGCAATTATCTTTCGTAGAATAAAGTAAGTCATACAAAGAGAAAGGAGAGAAAAGGTGAGAAAGCTGAACACCTTGAGAAGAATCAACTTTGGGAAGCAACGAACTAAAGCTCCCCCATCTGCATACAGTCCTCTTCTTTCTTTCATAAAAGCAAGAATACAGCCGTTTCGATATTAATGATGAGTAGTGTCTAGCAGTGGAATTAAGACACCGCGTTTCGTTCTATGTGAGACTCGTCAGCTGGATGCCTCTGCCTCTCTACGAGTAATGTTATCACTGCTAAGACTTGAACTCGAGACCAGCCGCTTCAAAATCCAGAGCGTTGTCCACAATTGACACTTTTCGTACGACAGGTACATTCTAGTTTGGGATGTTACAGCTTGTAAATCTCCGTCGTTGGTTTGACGGAAGTGGTTCAGGTGACATACATTTAATGAGTCTTAAGCAAGCCAAAACATGCGTCATGAATTTCGCTGGTTGCCATTATCCATCAATAATATTAGGACCGTGAATACCGACAGCATCAGGATATCCTCACAGGAGGCCATATACCAATAATGGTCGACTAGTTAGATCGAATCAGCCACGTAGATTTACAATCTATAACATGAAAAACTATTCAACCACTTTGCTACCCAGAGCTCACTCGGTATGTGCTCTGGAGAGCTAATTTAGAAAGAGTGGCCTGGTAACAGAGTCAAGTGTGGACATGTAATCAAAGTAGGTGTAGAAAGCATGCTTGGCACCTTTATATAAACTATAAACGATATGATGATACAGGACGGAGACAATGTTTGAATTATTTCAGTATGTGAATCGGTCTGAATCACTTAAAGTCTTCAGTCGACGTTGGAGCATAGATAAGAACAGTTTTTCCAATGCTTACGAAAGGAGCTTGATAATGGGGACAGTTACATAGTCTTCATACGCAAGGGAACAGTATTCAGACTTGATTATCTGTTAATCGCCTCCTTCTTTAGAAGGGATACTGTCAGGAACTCCTTCGCTTTTTTACTAAGTAGTACTTTCCAAGTTTTAAAGTTTCCTTGATCAAATATACAATCATATTGATCGATACTAAATAAGGATTAAATTAATTTTGGGTTTGAATTCATCATGGACTGACATCAGCTGAAGGAACATTGGAAACATGGAAGCATTGGATAACTGTATCGTCTCACTAGTATGGGACTCCTGAGCAAAGCGCGCCTGTGACCCAGCCCCACCACAGATCGAACTCAGGACATCCAGGTTCCGTGGACAGCACGTTACCATTGAGCCAGCCAATGGCTCAGGATTCAGTGGTCCATATTTCCTACTTCTGTTAGTTCACGAAACAGCTTCGAGATCCCTGAAGTTCCAAAGAGAAGTCGTGACCAGTGGAGTCAACTAAGTCGAACATGAAGACAGTTACTCAAAGACGTTATTGGATGTAAGTCATGCTGTATCGTAAGCTGATAAAAGTAGGAAAAATGTATCACTGGATTGAGATACAGTAATTGAATGGTAACGTGCTGGTCATGGAACCTTAAGGCTGCGGGTTCGACCACTGGTGGGGCGGGATCAGTGCACTACTGAGGAGTCCCATACTAGTGAGGCGAAACAGCTATCCATTTCTTTCAAGTTTCCAACTTTCCTCCAACTGATTTCAGTCTCTTCAAACCTCTACATGCTGTTTTAAAGAGCAGTCTGAATGTTTAACCTATGAACTGCTGCAATTATCTGGATTACACTTGATCCTTTTCGTATTTGATACTGAATAGCTTACATTACACTGGATGCAGATGATGTCTAAACAGATATCAGCATCTTAGAGAAAATGAAAACACGGTCTCAGATATCGACAAAATTTCAGCTGTCAAGAATACTCAATTTAATGTTGCTTGACTGATATTAAGTCTTCCAATTAATAATCTGACAATTAAAATAAGTTGTTTGATGTCATAATTCAGTGTATTTGAGGTATAATGGCAAGTCAGAATCAGGATTTGAGAATTTCGTTGTATTTTATGTTTTCTGAGCCCTAATCAGTCTCTTAGGTCAACCGGACGTCACCCACCATAAGGACGGCTACTATTTATTCACATGTATATAAAAAAGGTGTACACAACAAGTCATACACTCTTACTAACGGAGAAGCCTAGAAAGTCCCGTAGATCTACCCTAAACTCCTTGGAAGAGACGGTAGTGAGTGCCTAGCGTTGGTTATCCCACTAACAGTGACCGTATCTCACTTTCATTATTCTGCTCAAACTAACCTCTCTAATATCGTGGTTAGACGAGGCTACCTAGGTAATTCAACCCTTACTCTTTTAAAAGTACTAATTCCAGTTTACAACTGGTACTCAGATTCACATCTTCCCCGATAAAAACACTATTTCAAGTTTCGTTAACCATATTATCTAAATAAATGTTTTGTTCATACTTCATGTTCATGCTTCAGATAGCTAGACTGACTTCAAAGCAATGAATTTTCGGATAGCACTGTCAGTGTCAGCTACTTAATAGATCTTAATCTTTGAAAACTTCAGTGAATAAATAAGATTTCAGAGTGTTATAAGAGTTAACTTACAAGATTTTTTATCGTATGAACTTTTAGTTCCCCATGGACATTGACATTTGTAATCACCATTTGGTAAGTCAATACATTTCCCTCCATTGCTGCATCGATTAGGATCTGTTTTACATGGTAGCTCTAAACAAAAGAGAAACATAGAAAAGAGGTGGGAATGTATGAATAAGTATTTATTATTATTATTACTACTTATTGACATACTTGTTATTCTTCGTTGTTTTATTGGATTGAATTGTTCGACCTCTATTGACATATAGGCTCATTTGTAAATGCGTCGATATTCCCTAAGTGTTAGTTTGGTTGGTTGTGGCTAGCAGAGGAATTCAGGACGCACGTATCGTCCTACTGGGGAATCTTCAGGCAACCAAATTATCATAATTAACACTTAGACAATATCAAAGCATTCTCATAGGAAACCATATGTTAATGGATGTCGGAGAATTCTACCCAATCAAATAGTGGAGAAGTACAAGTATACCAATAAACAGTAATAAGTACTACCCATTATACGAGAAGTGACTATCGTTCCTCCGTTTGAAGTGATAGGTACGAGGTTTAGGTCTCAGTGGGAACAACATAACTCACTGGGATGCAGGTACATCCAGCTGACAAGTCCCAAATAGGACGGAACGCACGTCCTGAATTCTTCTGCTAGCCACAACCAATCAAATTATCAAATCCTTACACTAGAAAAATGTAGAAATTTGCGATTATACAGCATTGAAAATGTGAAATTATGGAAAAGAGACTCTTCACTGAAATATACGTATACTTCTTTCTTGTCTAATTTTCTCCAATCCTACAGAAGGTGAATTACCCAGTTTGAAGATTTATGGGTATAGCTTGGCGAAATGTATTATTGAGTGATAGAAATGTTATTTTAATTGGATAATAAAAACTGGTCAAATCAGATATCTTTCTGATGCCTACTCTGTTGAATAACTATTGCCATTTGGATAAATTTTCGCGGAAACAAAGTCTAATTAGTTCCATTTTAGTCTGTTTATGAGAATGTCGGAGTGGCGATTCAAATGGCAAGGGCTCCTAAAAACACCAGTCTCTAAACTTCCGTCTCGTATTCGTTAAATCTTGCAATCCAACATTACTGGCTCAACTTAATCACTTTCTAAGTCATAGGTAAATTGGATTTGATTCAATATTGAATTTAAATGTGCTAAGAACCTACTACTGATGTGTTCAGATTTCAGTAGTGTAAACGTATCATCTACATATCGAAACCACATCAAAAATTTAGTCCCACTACAAAAATATTGTCCTAATATGTAGATGATACGTTTACACTACTGAAATCTGAACACATCGATAGGCTGCTGGCACACGTAAGCTCAGTAGTGAATCCAATCTAATCTGCCCATAATTAAGAAAGTGATGAAGGTGAGATAGGAACATTGAATTGCAAGATAAAACGAAAACAAGATGGAAGTTTAGAGACTGGTGTCTATAAGAGTCCTTTCCATTCTAATCACTACTTAGACCTTAAATCCTTCCACCTCATTTCAGTTAAAGTAGGCATAGTTAAATGCCTAAGTCATAGGGCGGAAAAGCTTACTACTAGGCAAGAAAATCTACGACAAGAAATTAGACACATCAAGAATACCTTTCATTTCAATAATTACCCAACTACACTTTTCAATAATTCCATAAGAAATAGAAAGATAAATATTACCAGTAGTAGTAGTAGTAGTAGTAGTAGTAGTAGTAGTAGTAGTAGTAGTAGTAGTAGTAGTAGTAGTAATGCAGGTGATATTAGTAACAATCCCACTACTAATGGTAATAATGGTGAGAGGGTTGAGAGAGAATTCAAAGCCTCTGCTGTTTTACCATACAAGGAAGGCACCTGAGAAGCATTACAAAGAATTCTCAATAAGGCTGGCTGGGATTAGAGTGATATTCAAACCAACAAACTCGCCTTTACACAAACTTTGTAGGTTAAGGGATGCTATTAATGCAATGAGACAAAATAATCTGGTTTACCAAATCCCTTGGAATGATTGCGAGGTCAAATATATAGGTTAGAGTAGTCGATCCGTGGTGGTTAGAATAACAGAGCACAAAATCTTAGCGAAATCAAGGCCAGTAGATAAGATATTTAGAAGAATGTTTGATTATGACTCTGCATGCAACCGCACACAATCACACATTAGGGTGGGATAGAGCCTCTGTATTGAAATTAACTTAGTGAATGGATGAAGTGAGAGATTATTAGTTGGATGCTTTGTTTAACGAATCAATATTGAAGACCTGAAATGATGGAATGATTCTGCACCTGTCTCAGTGCAGAGAGAGAGAGAAAATTAGGAATATATAAACTGTCTCAAAGTTGTAGAGTCAGTTACCTGATATAGATATGCACGACAAATTATATCCGGAATGTTATCCAGTAAATGATACTGTTCCTTCACTGTGTGTGACATTTCTAATTCACTGACTGAAATGGAATGACAATCGACCATAGTGACCAAGTTTTACTCCTATATTAAAGTCGAATTAGGAGTTGGTCAAAATGAGCTGGATATGTAACATGAATACTTTACAAAACAGTGTTTGATAACATTACTAAACGTAATCATTTCGTCTTGAAAACAAAGAAGATATAAGTAGTATATGTCGGGAGGGTGGCAGGAATCATAGAGAATTATCCTCAATGGGTAAAGTTTCTGCGAAGAGCAACGCAAGGAATAAAGCAGGCGTATTACAGTGGATGCTGCTGATAAGAATGTATGGAGAGCAGATCAAGAGAGGAACAGAAGAGGAAAGAAGCACATTTGCAAATGACTGAGTTAGTGCAAGGTGTGCCATATGTAACGACTACCCTTCCAATTGTTCGCACTATGTATTTCACTCCCATGTTCGTCTTATGTCTTTTCAATAGGATAAGACTAGGAAGTTTTTAAATCGTATGGTTACTAAAGTATCACAGAAAGTATGTAGTGGCTTTGAATAATGTATCTGGTCAAAGGTTACAGTCTAAAGCTGCTGGATAAGAGAGTCTGGATCATTTAACACAAATGTGTGATGTTTCAGAAGAGTTTATTCAATCAGTGACATAATTTACGACGATGGTACAGTGTTTACTTCAACAGTCCTAATGATCATTGGTTACTGAAAGCTAGATCTCAAGATGTTGATTAAAAGGGATAAGATATCTGTCATCTGTTCAACTTATAAGTTATCAATGCTCTGAAGGTTCATCATTATATAAAGTTGTTGCATAATCAAATAATTTTAACATAACGACCTAAGAGGTAATATATGCTCGAAGATTTTAAAAAAACACATATACCTGATAGCTTCTCTAGATACTCTCCATAGGTTTTTTCTCAAACTACCCAGCAATTTGGAATGTTAAGGTCATCAAAAATGATTTCAACCAATGTGTTTTGTATTAGAGTGTATCATTTACGGAATCCCTTATCACATTGTACAAACAACCCAAGTAACAAATTAACTAACCAACTTACTTTGTGTATAAACACAGTCCAATGATATTTTGTCAAAGTGTGTATTTTCAGGACAATTACATCTGAAATGTAGCAAACAATAAAACAGTTAGTAAAGAGAATAAAGCCAAACTTTAAGCCAAGACTTAAAAATGACCACTACGAAAGAAAATCAATTTAGATTTGACCTTTAGGAGGTACATATATATGCAGTGTAAGAAAGATTCAGAGCACGACAATGTAAATCTTTTAAATAATCACTTCCGAACTTTTGTTACATTAATGGGAGTTGTTATGATGGTATTTCCAGACAGACAGACAGATAGACAGACAGACAGACAGAGACAGACAGATAGATAGATAGACAGACAGAGAGACAGACAGTGAGGTAGGTGGGTGGGTAGGTAGACTAAATAAATGTGAAATCTCGCAAACAAGTGCATTAGATCAAGTTGCCACACTTTAGAGTAGCACACAAAGAATAGTTGGATAGAATAAGAGTGATATCGAAGTAGATAAAGTTGTGTGAGAGAATAAAAGATTTGAAGATAAAGGCTATCATGAATATTCAAGCTTTAGAAAAGGTGAACGAAAGAATACATCTGCGTCAGCCATGTCACCTAGAGTCTTCAGCTATTGTGGACCCAAGCCAGGCAGTATATATCTCCTTACACGACTCGTACTACCAGTGAGAGACTTCATCGACAAGTATCAGATTTTCGTCTGGGCACTCTTAACCCTCCTTCAACATGATCCAACTTCCCCTAGCATAGTACATCGAGGTAGGTGATGGTGAGGCATGCGAAGCGCTTGTTTAAGCCACCTCAATCGATGAAGGTTCACGGTGTTATCGACCGACGTTTTCTATTGCTTAATACTCTTCGCCTGGTCTCAAGACTACTCACAAGGGTGCTTCTTGGCTATGAAAACATCTATGGTCAAAATCTCATAGCCAATACAAATCTTCCACTCTTAATGGTTATGTTTCACAGACATATAACAGGACAGAGCGGACTGCAACGCAGTATACTCGTTCTTTGATGGGTAATAGGATATCTCATATGACGAGAGTTGGGATTTCATCAGCAATCAACTGGATACAAAACATAAAAGGGTACCAATTGATTAAAGAGTCATTTACTCAGCAAAGTAATATCTGAGTTACATTTCTAAACAATATCAGCATTTATAAAGTACTCAAGTTGATCCGGAGATTTTGCAAACCTAATCAAAATGATCTAAGTACCGGCAAACATTTTCGGTTACTCACTTATGATTTAGTAATGTAGAAGTAGTATTCATCATGAACTGACATCAGTTGAGGAACCATTGACAACCTGAGAGCACTGGACAGCTATTCCGTCTTAGTATGGGACGACTCGGCATTAAGCACCCACGACTCGGCTGGGGGTCGAACTCAGGACCTTCAGGTTTCACGGCGTATGCGTTAAATATTCAGCCACTGGGTCAGTTTCCAGTGGTTCACAATTTCCAACTACTGTCAATTCACGATATAACGCGACTGTCATCCAAGGTCTTCAGTTAGCATCCACTTCACTTCCGACTGGTTGACCCCACAGGTCACGACTTCTCATTAGAGCTTCGTGATATCCATCTGGAAACAAGTCACTAATGAGCACTATACAGTAATTTATTTTTGAGATGGATGGGGATTTTAATTTAGAGGTAGTGTTCATCATGGACTGATATCAGTTAAGGAACCACTGAACAATATGTTTAGATACTGTAGAGCTCGGAAAATTATTTCCAGTATCAGTTGGGTCACACGCCTTCGAACAAAGTCCAAGTCCGGAATGCTATAAGGCTACTGAAATGCAGGAAAGCAACAGGATCAGATAGAATCCCTCCAGAAGCACTGAGAACAGATGCAGAGACAACAGCAGACACGACCACACCATTACTGCAGAAGGTCTGGAAGGGAGGAATGGTACCTGCAGATTGGAACAAAAGGCTACCTTGTCAAACTTCCAAAGAAGGGAGACCTCAGTGTTTTCAATAACTTGTGCTGAATCATGCTCCACTCCTGTTCACCCCAAGCAAAATATTAAACCGCATCATCCTACAGAGACTAAAAGATATACTGGATTCAAATTTACGACCGGAACAGGCAGGCTTCAGGAAGTACAAATCATGTACGGGCCAAATTGCAACACTACGCTACGCATCATCATACAACAGAGAATAGAATGGCAGTCAACAATCTATCTCAACTTCATCCACTTTAAAAAGGCCGGCATTCGACAGCGTCGACCGACAAGTAATTTGGAAACTGCTGCTTCAACACTACACAATACCACAAATCTTCATCAACTTCATTCAACAACTATATGAAGACACCACATGCCAAGTTATTTACAACGGCAAGCTCAGTGATGATAACTTTGAAGTGAAGACAGGAGTAAGACAAGAAGGTCGCCTACTGTCAGCCATGATCTTCCTAATAATGGTGGACTGGATCATGCAACAAACAGTGAGGAGTGAGAAGAGGGGGATACTCTGAACCGGGGAAAAGAACCTAGAAGAGTTGGATTTCGTCAATGACTTGTGTTCAATGCCGCACAAACTCTCAGATCTAGAGGCAAAATCTAACAAGTTGACAGAAGAGGCGAGGCAGGGCAGAGAAGACTGGGCTTCCTTCAGGTGAACACAGAGAAGACAGAGATGATGAAGATACCTGACCAACAACACCAACAACAACAAGCTCCAGTCACTATCAATGGAAGGACCTCAAAGGAAGTAGTCTCTTTCACCTATCTAGGCAGTACTGTTTCGACCACAGGCGACACAGATGAGGATGTCAAAACCAGTCAGGATCGGAAAGATAGCAAGAGAGACATTCATTAGCCTGAAACCAGTGTGGAGATCTACACCAACCAGCATGTGGAACAAGATCTGGATTTTCAACACCAACACCAATCAAGTCAGTTCTTCTGTATGGTTCGGAGACTTGCTGGCGCGTTACGAAAGGGATTTCCAACAAGCTACAGACATTCATCAACAACTGCCTACACTGGCTCGTTACTGAAGATCAGATGGCCATAATAGTGAGACTAGGCAGCAAGGGACTGTGGCTGGCAACGAATCAACGAAGCAAGAAGCTATCGGTGAAGAAATATGCCGAAGGAAATGGAAATGGATTGGCCATGCACTGAAAAGACCATTCGGGGACATCACGCACCAGACCATCGAGTGTAACCCGAATGGGAAATGACCAGTTGGGTGTCCGAGTTGAGGGTGACATGGAGGAGGTGGTGCGAGGAGGAAATGAGAGCTTGTGGGTTGTCGTGGAGCCAGGTTTAGAAGATTTCAGAGAAGAGAGTGCACTGGAGACGTGCTACTGAATCCCATGTTCCAATAGGAACCCAAAGGACAAATAATAATAATGATATCAGTCGGGTCAGGTGACTCTGTTTGTTTCCAAAGTCACTTTGAAATATGTCGTTTGACCCTAATTTACGATAATCGATAACTCCTCTCTATGTATGTGTGATCATATGTACATTTAGATTGGTAAATACAGTGGGATATGACTTCATATTCCACGTGTTTTAATAGGTATTTAGACTTCAAATTTTTAATTATCCAAATGTTAGCTGAATACGTTCTGCCAAATACATCTTTCTTAAGTGAGGTGATGAGTCAAGAGTGAGTCGAAACAATAAAACGATCAATCTATTGAAAGCCTACTTGGATACGATATCATTTAAATGATTACAATTTCTGTCCGGTCTAGTACAAACAAAGCTTCATTAGGTGCTTATTTAATCACATTCAGCGGATATGTACAGCTTATAAATTCAAAGAAGAAGAGATGAGGTCATTGATGGAGTCGTTGATCGAGAACGAATACTCATCTAGATTTATAAGTCAGCGTAAAGTAGACAAAATATTGAGAAATGCCATCTATTCTGTTCATAAGAAACGTGCTGCTATATACTGACAATGTGAATAACTTAGAAGTCAGACAGATGCTCAGCTTTAAAATTTATAAAGTAATTACTGAAGGGAACTATTGCAAGCAACTGAAACATTGAATCCTCAGGAATGCGGTGTGTGAAGCTACCTCATGTATAATTGAACTTTTCAGTTCTAAGTCAGTTTCAAACTTTTTTACACGACGCGTGCGAGCTACAGGGTCTTAGTAGCTCAGTTGGCAGTTGGTAGAGCATCAGCCTGGGAACTTAGTGGTCGCTGGTTTGAATCCGGCCACGGTCTAAATTCCCATTTCATCTTCAATCATCACCCAGTATCAAGACTAATCTACCAAACCACCCCTATCTCAAATAGTCAAATTGGTAACTAGTAAAATGTATCCGAACACCTAAATGCATAGGAATTCGTGTTAATCTAATCTACAATCAAAATATCCGAACGTCTTGATAGTGATGTCTTCATCTGTTATCTTAACTGATGTTGATTTGAACACATGTAGAAAAAGAGCAGCTATACGTCTTGGAAAGTAGGTTGGATATGTCCTCTCTGTTGCTTTACTAGGTTGGACGGACGTTCATCTCTTGAGTTATCCACCTAAAGTTTTCGGTGTTACACTGGATTGTAATATATTGCTGCCCTAACTCTTGGCCTCAGAAAAGCAGGCCTTCATTAGCCTGAAATCAGTGTGGAAATCTACTGCACTGCATTGCACTCAGCATAAAGCGTGAACAAGATCCAGATTCTCAACACTAATGTCAAGTCAGTGCTTCTATGTGGTTCAGAAATTTGGCGCATTACGAAAAGCATTTCCAACAAACTACAAACATACATCATCAACAGCTGCCATCTACGCTCACTCCATAATGATGCTGAAGATCAGATGGCGAGAATAATAAAAAAGGAACTCAGGCTGATAAGGAACCAACAAATAACCCATTGCCCAACAATGTGCAGAAAAAACTGAGATGGATCGGACATACACTGAGAAGACCAATCGGGGACATCACGCGTCAGATTGTCGATTGGAACTCAAATGGGGAACGACAAGTTGAGCGTTGGAGCCATGAGTGACATGGAGGAGATGGTGTGAGGAAGAAATGAAAGCTTGTAGGCAGTCGTGGAGCCAGGTTTAAAAGACTGCAGAGAACAGAGTGAAATGGCGACGTGCTACTGAAGCTCTTGTTCCACTAGGAACCCAAGGGACAAATATTATTCATATAACTCTTGGCCTTATTGACACTAGATTCGATTTACAAATTGAACGCATGCATTCACAGATGACTGGTTATATAACTATATGATCATCAGCTCCAAGTAACATGCATCATGAATATCTCTTACAATGAATATTAAAATAATATGAATAAATCTGTCAATGTGTTCCGAACCAGTAACAGAAAAGCTTTATTCCATAAGTAAAAAAATGCATACATAGCTTGTAATTATCGTTAGTTTTTCATACCATGAAACTTACGCGTAAGACCCTTCTTCATTGATACATTGACCACGCTGACATACACCATCCACTTCACATTCATTGATATCTAATAGAAATTAAAGAGTAAAATTTTGATAAACTGAGATTATGATGAAAACATCAAGTAGAAAAGAAGAGCAACTACCAGGAATTTACTTAAACAAGTTTTCAATCATCATTAGGCATACCGTTATATTATTGGTAGTGATGCAAGTATAACCATTTGGGCAAGAAATGAGTAGCCTGAACTGCTTCAGAACAATCTTCGAATCCATGTTTCACTGCACTGTGTTTTGTAATGGTCACCCAAGGGTAACCAATGTAGCCGTCAAGTTCTCACTAACTAGCACTAATAGTTGGCAATGTAGCCATTGAGTGAAGAGATGCTACCACCAATTTATAACTCTAAGAACTATAAAAACCATATCTTAAAGTTATGGAGTTCCCTTGGTATGGATATGGACAATAATATTCGACCGAAATATTATCCCATAGACAGTACTGTTTTATTGTCTGATGCGACTAATAAACGAACTAAAATGAGATGGAATTCTTGAAGTTTCAGCGAAAACTCGTGATTTGTGGTGCCAAGCAAGCGAGGTGTCAAAAACAAAATACTGGCTAACGGTATTGGATGACGATTGAGCTGTATTGTGGATTAGCAGAATACCATCATAGCGATTAAATGATAACTTGTTTGACATGAGAGCTGATATGCCTTGGCTTGAGTTCTTGATGAGAAGTCCCTTGCCAGGTCAAAACACCTACTCGCTGCCCTCACTTTTTCAATAATTCTTTATATGATGTCATTTCGTGATGAATACTACCATGAAATAAAAGAATTTGGATCTTTTCGGGAATATTTCCTCAGTCTCATAGCTTTAGTTTTCGTTACAAACATGTATATTATCGTCAGTTGAATTGTTTTAGATAATGCTAATGCAAATCTGTTTTTAAGCATAAAACCCACTATCTCTATTGTCACAACGTGAAGCATCTTACACTCATTCCATCCACTTTATACCCAACAAAGTCTCCTTGAATTCTTTTAGAATAAGGCTTTGACATATTAAGACTCAGAACGCTAGTCAATGACATGCTGGTATTTGAAACGGTCGGTCCTTGGGTACAAGTCTTAGTGGGACTAATATCACTGTTGGCATATACTATTTGTTAGAAAAAAGGCAACAATGATATCTGAATGAAATCAACGTTACAATATCACTAACTTCAAAGTGTTAAGAAAACAATGAATAGACAACACAACTTGTTTGAACAATATAGTGTAGTTGTGTAACCCATCTCGAACAACCTGATGACTTGCTCAACGTAAACACGCGATTAAGAAAATGAAAACAGGTTGAAACTTACTATTAGAACAATATTTGGGCTTTCCACTATGAACCGATTGGCATGTAGCATCATACAGCATAGCATACAGCTGCTGTTGAATAAGGTTGATAAGGGTTTGTGGCAGTCAAACTGTAGTGTTGAAGTAGCTGCCTGTCAAATTACTTCTCAGTCGACGCTATTGAACGCCGGCCTTTTGAAACTCGACGAAGTCGAGGTAAAGATCGAGTTGACTGACATTCTATACTCTGTTCTATGATGATGCGTAGCTTGGCGTGGCGTGGTGTGGGGTGGTGGGGTTTGGTATGGCATGGTGTTGCAATTTTATGGGCACATTTGATCTGTTCTTGTTGATGCCAGCCATCTAGCCTGTGACGGTAGTGACTTTGAATGCAGAGTATTTATTAGTCTCTCCAGTATGATGTGGGGGGGGAGGGGGTTGACAGGGGCATGACTCCGCACCAGCTCTTACAAAGTGTAACATCGATGAACTTTGTAAAACTTCTCAACATACGCTTAAAGGCAGATTTCATCGCAATGGGCTTAAAATCTGATACTAACTACTTGATACAGTATCACATTGTCTGGCTAAGTAATTTTGATTCCGTTTTTAATAGAAACAGTTTCAAGTCAGCGAAAACACTATGGTTACTACCCTTGAAAATAAACTGGTAACTTCTATACTGTTGGTTTCAGTGCTTTAGCAGCAATATATATGTTTTAGGAAGTGAAGTATATGATTTTTTCAATTTTTAGGAATTTCCTGCTGGTGAGTATCACTGAGTTCGAAGGCTGGGTAAAGTCTTTAAAGAATAAAGTTTCGAAGCGTGTACATATGAAGTTATTTGAACTGTATCTAGATATGTTCTTTTGCAGTTGTGACTCAGATATTGAACATAGCAATGACGATAAATTCATACAGGAAATAGTAATGTTTTGAGCGTGTTGTTTTCTCTGAGCTAGATAGCTTAATCATGAAGCGTTCATTGTCATTTTAGACAAAATCATCTCCTTAAACATGTTTAGAATGATAATAAATGCTAAGTGAATAAACCATCAGTAAAATCATCCACCTGAGCTACTGATATTCTCCATCATTTCAAAAACATACTAGTGTCTTCGCAGGGTGACCACTAATATTAGTGCTGGGATAATCTCAAGGAGTATTTTAACCAGAAATCAAGCATACCTTAAATAAACATTAAGAAAAATAATAATTTGCTGTACAAAAGTGTAAGATGAATCATATTTTAACAATTACCTTTACAAACTCCATCAATTTGTTCATATCCTTTACCACAGTGTGTTGTTTGACATGCTTGACATGGCTCACCCCATGCAATGCCTAAAGCATTACAACAGACTTCATAAGTTAACAAAATCGATTCATAATCATATTGAGATATTCTGTACTGCATAGGTTTTACACACAATCCACGTTTTAATGATGTATAACAAGCACCTGTCAGCTTATCTATGAAAGTAGATGAACAAGAGAAAATGATTATACTCACAATATCAAGTTATCAATAACTAGAAACAAATGTTTTTCTGTTCAAATTGAATCATTCCCCTAGCTAAGATAAAAGTTGACGAACGTCTCAGTGTCATGCCAGACAACATCATCAACGTATTAGAACTTCCCAAAAAAGCAAATCAATCAATTTTGTATGGATAGTTGTAAGATGTTACTCTGAAGGGGTCTGACCTCACTGGCTGCTCGATGAGTGCATGGGCAATATTGAACCTGGTTGGTTGGTTTATTGCTTCTAGTTTCCTTAGAAGGGTGTATAACTATGTAACTGACTGACTTCTTTTGCAATACGTTGAGGTCCGTTTGTTAAGATTGTTTGCCTCTGTTTTTGAATAAACTGATACAGACCACTCTGATATGACTACGTAACACCTTTATGCAACTAAAGTGATGAAGGTGTTTTTTTATCTGGCTAAAAGACTCTTCCTTACTGAAAGAGGGGTACTTTATGCTGATTGGTTAATTTGTTTCAGCTGAAAGATTGATGATCTTCTCTTTGGCTGAATCAAAGTTTTCTTCGCATTTACGTCGATTGGTTCCAGTCATTGTCTTGTTTCAAATAAGTTTCTAAATGGCGTCTTGATCAATATGGCAATTTATTGCTAATTTACTGAAGTGCCAGGCCTCAACTAGTGATGTGGGCACTTACTGCAACTAGTTCAGTAGATCTCGTTGGCCATTTTTTCCTCGTTGACTACTTCTTTTGGTTTGCATAATATATGTAGCGACTTTCTTTGTCTATGTGATATTACGACTCCAAGTAGATTCAGTATTATTCTTGGTTGTATTGGGTTCTTTGAGCTCGGTTGTGTAATCGTGAAGCTTTCATCGTCTTTCTAGATAACATCATCAACACTAACACTATTATGAAGGCCAAAGGATGCAAGAACCAACGAAGACAAACCGAACATCATTTACAAAGCCAACTGTAATAACTGTGGTGAAAACTACATTGGACAAACTGGTTTCCCTCTTCACCTTCGTCTACATGAGAATACCAGTTGTCTATTAAATGTCACAACATTTCACCACTGATCGCTCAGTGCACATGGATAACAACTACGGACATGAATTCAAGTTTGACAATGTAGAAATGTTGGATAAAGACAGGAAATACAAAGAATATCAGAGAATTCCTAGAAGTTTGACATTCACGCCAGTCAGCCAGCAATCAATTTATGTATAGATATATCCCTAATCTACCAACTAATAAGAAAAGTGGTAAACGACAGAAAGGTCAGAGGTGACGCAGAAGAACAGCCAACAGAAAAATCTATACAATCAAATGAAGCAACAAATCACACACAAAGCAGTTGATCAGAACAAACTACGGAATCACTCATGGAGAGATATTGACAGCTCACTTTATACTGAAGTTAGTGTTGATGATATCGTCCAGCAAGACGATGAAAGCTTCACGATTAAACAACCCACCTCAGAGAACACAATGCAACCAAGACCATCCATCTGAACTACATATATTCTCCACAGATTCAGTAATATTGCTGTAATTTCCGAGTTATTCTCGATGTCTGACGAGGGGCGAACAGTTTTTTCAATCATGTTTACAGTAGATTTCAATTTTATTCGTTTAGAAAAACATTTTTGTGACCAGGATACAGGAATATAACAGTTCTCCAGAGTTTCGTTTTTCTTTAGTGAATCTGATTCATTTGGATTCGTTACTGTCTTTAAAACTATATCACAAGGGAAGGATATATTTCTGTCGACAGGTAAAGCAGCTTTGCATATTTGCATGTCAATAACAAAACACGAAACCTAGGTTCAGGGCTTCCAGCCGATTGCCTCCAACTAACTAATATCTACTAATGAGCACTGCGGTGCTGAGCTTCCTAGCTTCGTTGCCACACTGCAAATATGATCGATAGAATTCAGTCTACACTCAGGAGTAGATAACATGAAATTGGTTGCGCCCCATGACCAATCAATGCATATAAGCCAGTCCTACAGGAGGTCAATCGCGATTCGAAAAGGTCAGTGGTGAAGTCATTGACTACAACACTGGGTGATGTGGGTTCAGATCTCAGGTGGGACATCAGTTCCGTCGAGGTTGCAGATACACTTTACTGACGAGTGCCAAAAAGCATGAAATCTAGGTCCAGGGCGTCCTGCCGATTGCCTTTAACCAACTAACAACAAAACCGTTGTTTTTCCTCCTGTGATATTACGTTAATTTTGGACTACCCAGTTCCTAATGATTGCAGATGGGTGATGCAATATAAAGATGAGAGACTGGTCTATAAAGTCTCTGACTTAACATATATATTTCCTTCTCTCAACTTTACAGGAATAAGAAAAAATATTGCAGCTGAATAAGATAGATCTATCTTAGCATTTTGGTGGTTCTCGTCAGTTTTTTATAACCTAAAATATCTGCAATAACAAAGTATAGTAAAATATTGACATATAAAAGTTCAGTGAAACCAGTCAAAATGTGGCAACAACATAGCGGAGAATGAAATTGAATACAGAAAATGAATCATAACCTTTGGAAGTGTCCAAAGTAATCAATAGATAAAGTAACTCAAATTTTATTTGCTTTACCGAATCTAGTAATGAAGGATAGTGACTAATAGCGGAATCCAGAATGAGCATTTCGTCTTATTTAGGACTCGTCAGTTGGATGTACCTGCCTATCAGCTAGTGATTTTGTTCCCACCGGGATTCGAACTCGGGAACGATCACTTCAAACGCCAGAGCGTTATCGACTAGACCACCGAGCTATGATAGCCACCTCTTGTGTGACAAGTATAGTTTTAGTATTATTATAAAACACAGGTAATATTGAGGCATCTGCACCGAAGCCCATATGCCAATAAAGACTGATCATTTCGGTCCAATCAGCGATGGTACAATACTAGCAATTATACTAAAACTATGCCCGTCGCACAAGAAGCGGCTATCATGGATCGGCGGTCTAGTCGGTAACGCTCTGGTGTATGAAGTGATCGGTCCTGAGTTCGAATCCAGGTGGGAATAACATCACTCACTGATAGGCAGGTACATCCAGCTGACGACTCCCAACTGGGAAAAAATGCTAATCCTAGATTCCACTACCACCCACTATCCATCTTTACTGAATCTGCTACAATCGAATACCTAGTGCGTTCGAAAGAAATTTCAATTCATCAATCTTTAATTATCCCGGTAACTTAATTAACTAACCTCTCACTTAATAGATTACATTATAATCTTATCTTCACATTCGCAGTTAACTTTAAACCATATTCCTTATCAACTAAATGCCACTCAGAGGACACCTAATCATTCTCATCTTTATCATTAACTACAAATCTTTTCCATGATTTCAAGTATGGACTATCATAGCTCGCTAAACCATGGAACCAAATAGTTTAGTAGATATGTTGATATAATTTAACTCGTCAATAGATTTCGATGAGCAATACAAACTTTAAAAAACGGTATTCTTATTTAGTATCATATATGCTATCTAATATGAAGTAAATTTCCTATTTAAAGTAGTAAAAATACACTTACTTTCACATGCTTGACCACTGTAACCCGATTGACACATACATTTTCCACTTTCACATGTTCCACGTTTATTGCAGTTATCTAGGCAATGATCTTAGAAACATAAGAGAAGTAAAATGAATTTTTCTTTAACGTTTGATCATAGAAAAGAGATTCTTATATGAAAGTTATAAATAGGCTTTGAAATAACTAAGATAGACGAAAGTTTTCAAGTTTCTTGTAAATCAGTTACTTTGATCAAGTCTGATGAAATATTTCAAAGATTGATACCACGTTTCAGTCAAGCTCTTTGACCAAGAGTTTGATATGGACTTTTAAAATGAATACTGGTCATTCTTTTTAGCCTACAAATTTCACTTGAAAAATACAATCCTCACTGGAATTACCAAGCAATGAGGCATACTTATTATCTGAAACTTAATGATATCACCTGGCTTCTTATACCTCAAAAGAAAAGTTAAAGGCAATGTGGTTTAGAATAAGGTATATCCAACTTACGAGTGTGCAGTTGCGTAGAACGCTAATTTTGATTATAACCACTATAAAGTAAGATCGACACAGATAAAATCAATGAAAGATAGTGGAGTAAACTTAGTTACCAAAGAAGAGAAACAAAGGAAACGATGAACTGACAATTTCAAACAGCTATTGAAGCGACCACCACCTGCACTTCGTCCAGAAATACCACCTGCAGCCACAGAAATATCAGTGAACACAAACACTCCGATAAAAGCAGAAGTGCTAAACGCCATAAAGTTGCTGGAATCCAGGAAAGCAGCAGGACCGGATGGAATTCCTCCAGAAGCACTGAAAACACATGCAGAGACAACAGCGGACATGCTCACACCACTTCTGCAAAAGGTTTGGAAGGAAGGAAAGGTACCTCTCGATTGGAAGAAGCTCTATCCAGTCAAGCTTCCTAAGAAGGGTGACCTTTTGCCCAAAGTGTCTGCAGAAGAAGAAATTAGAGACAGATTGGATTGGATATAAACTAAGAAGACTGTTTGTGGGCATCACGCGCCGGGCCAGGCCGTCGAGTGGAACTCGCATGGGAAGCGACGAGTTGGGCGTGAAGGTGAGGGTAACATAGAGGAGATCATATGATGAAGAAATGAAAGCTTGTGGTCAGTCGCTGAGCCAGGTTACTGAAGCCCTATGTTCCACCAGGAACACAAGCAACAAATAATAATCATAATAATAGAGCGATAGATGCTTTCTTCTAGTCTTATTTGAACCTAGACTCAGCCGGCTGAAAGATTCATAGATGTGACGAAATATGTTATACATTCGCTTTTTAAAATGTCTTGTTGCTTAACTGCTTACTGATATCTGGTGGCAGAGTTTTATCTTTTCTCATAACACAATTATGTAATGATGAAGATAAGGATTCTTTCATCTATCTGGACTAATACAATTATAGAGCAAGAATGATCGTCCCAGATTTATGTTAGATAAGCAAATGTACAGTGTTTAGCGAACATTCATCTAGCTGGTGAATGCTACTAATAGTTATCAGTTTGTAGGCTATACCATGTAACGTTTCCCTTAGTATTTTCGACACTATTATTAGAGTTGAGCAGAAAATTTGTACCTCATTGTTAGAATATATTGTTGATTGAAATAAATCACAGCAGAATGTGGCCACTAGATAGCATCGAGTTGAGCAGTTCTTATCTCAGACTGAGAATCATAACTTGTTTCATTTCCTGCTGATCCTTTTCTTAATCTCTGATATAATAAACAGTGCTGCGAACTTTTTAAAATGTTTGACTGATTCATCTACCCTTCAAGTATATCTTTGATAAAACCGAATTGATTCATCGAGGATTATACACTACATTCTATCATACTATACACTCCAACAAAAATATGTAGCGTTTCGTATTGACTAGTCATGGAAGAGAAATCAATTTCACACTGTCTTGTTCCAAGTGCAAACCGAATCCTATCAGTCCCATTTGTAATGTGGCCACGAAGCTAGGAGGCTCAAGGCTTTCTGCCGACTGCCTCCAAACAACCAACATGTAATAATGTGCACCGCGATCCTGAACCACCTAGATCTGTGGCCATACTGCAAATATGATAGATAGAATTTGATTTGCACTGGGGACTGCTTATTTTTTTTTACTCATTTGTCTCTCGGGTTCCTAGTGGAACATATCGCTTCAGTAGCACGCCGCCATTTCAATCTCTTCTCTACAGTCTTCACAATCTGGCTCCACGATTGCCCACAAGCTCTCATTCCTTCCTCACACTCTCTCCTGCATGTCATCCTCGGTACCGACGCTCAACTCGTCGTTTCTCATTTGGATTCCACTCGACGGTCTGGCCTGACGCAAGATGTCCCCGACTGGTCTTCTTACTGTATGCCCAATATCTAATCCATGTCCACTTTCTTCTGTATATTTGTTGAACGATGGGCTCTTGGTTGGTTTGTGGCCAGAATGAGCTCCTTGTTGCTTATTCTTATTATTCTCGCCATTTGATCGATTTTATGTATCGAGTGGGCTTAGGTGGCAACCGTTGATGATATATGTATGCAGTTTGTTCAAAATGATTTTCAAAGCGTGCCAAGTCTCTCAACCATCATATAGAGGCACTGACTTACTTGAAATTAGTGTCGAAAATCCGGACCTTGTTCATGCTTTATGCTGTGTGCAGTAGATCTCTATATTAATTTCAGATTAATGAAGGGAAGTCTATCTTGCTGTCTTTTCGATCCTGGCTTAGACATCTTCATTTGTGCCACCGCCTGTAGTTGACACGATGCTGCCTAGTTGGTAGGGGAAAGTGATAACTTCCTCTGGGTCTCTCTCTTTGATGGTGGTCGGTCCTCGTTATTGTTGCCAGAGATGGTTAAATATCGTGTTCACATCTGTTTTCTCTACGTTCACCTGAAGTCTTGTTTTCACTGCCTAAGCGACACGGGTTCCAATCTCAGGCGGGACATCAATTCCATTGAGGTTGCAGATACGCCTTGCTGACAAGTCCCACGAAACCCAGTTTAAGCAGGGCTTCCTACTGATTGCCTGCAACCAAATAACATTTAGCGTTTCCTAATTTTTTGTCAAAATGCCTAAAATATTATTGCTTTCCGGACGGAAAAGCAATCCCTATTGAAAATGCCTATATTAGTTACTGGTGTTTAGATAACTCTGCAGTGTATGAAGTTGAGTTTTATCTTTTAGCCTTGAAAGTTTGATTCTACAAGGTGCCATAGGTTAAGATTGACTAAGTTTCTGATGAATTCACTTCGGCTATCAAAACAGTCGCACTTATGCAGTAATTGCCTACCACCTTTTTGAGATATGAAGGGTTTATTGGTGTTAACAGACATCTCAGAAGGTTGGTTAGTTTTCTTGAAAAAATAGCTGCACCTTACTAACGAATAAGAACAGAAGTTAACAGAATTCTGCCAACCGAAAGCTACCCAATTCAATCATGATTAGTGTTGTGATTCACACACATTTAAAAAACATTTATACAAGGAAATCCTTCTTCTGCTTGTAAATTTTTATAGCGCTCTCAGTTCTATTTGATTGACGCATAACGTGGGGTTGTTACTTTAACAAGCATGCTTTTAAAGTGAATTCTTTACCGTTTTTCCCAATTGATGGCTAGTATATTGACAGACTGTTATCTTTGCATCGTACCATTTCATCATGTTCTTTTCAGTCCCTTCTAAACATTAAAAATAATGGTGTGTCCAATTTTTTACTGTTTTCAAATGTAGTCTGACACCTAAAAACTCAGCACATACTCCTCAGAACTAACCTCATACATTGATATTTCTAAAGACCATTTATCAAAGTTTTTAATCAAAATAGTAACAATGTTTTAGGTAAATGGGAATACGTGAGGACAGACTATATAGGAAGCTTGTCCTGTTCATAAAACATTTTATGAGGATTATTAAAGTATTATATGAAAGATCTTGCTGTTATTTGATTATAGGCAGTCTACTCTAATTGACCTGTTTGATACATGATCACACTAGTCGACAAGGTATATTCGTAACCTTGGAGAAATTGATGTACTCTCCTAGTTTCAAACAACACTGCGAAATTTCGATAACGCTATTAGAAGAAGAAGATTATCTGAAAAATGTGTGTGTGTGTGATGTATTTGCATAATACATTTCCAACAGTTCGATCACACATTTACTTGTCATGTGAATTCATATATGAAAAGAAAATGAAAGGTCAAATATGATGAATATAAAAAAGTTGTGACATTAGTCTTTGTAATAAAATTAGATAAGGATTACTAAGGTAAATTGGGTGAAACAACAGGCCTATAGTAGATTTTAGAAACACTCCGACTTACGAGTTGTCTGAATATTAAGCAATGGTGTTAGGCCAATAAAAAATCACTCAAAGTCTCGACTACCAATCCTCATAACTTAAAACAACCTCGCCTGGTTAACTAGTTTACTAGTTACTAGCCGGTCCTAAGCCCACCTAAAGAGGGAAGGTTGGGCATAGGACTAGCAACCCTACCCCATAAAACCAATCCCATTGCTAAGGAAACTTCAAAGCACAAACAAAATATAAAAAATAAAAGCAAAGTTATTCCTCGCTGGAATCGGATAGGCGAAATGACGCCAGTTGGTGAAAGCCTTCGGGAAGCCAATTGGCCAATGTGTCTTCTCTCTCTCGGTGAAAGCGAAAGTAAACGTGGGGATATGGAATGTCCGCACCATGTTTGAACCCAGCAAGGCAGCCCAGATTGCAAACGAGATGAAGAGGTATCACATTGAAGTGCTTGGAATTTGCGAAAGCAGATGGAATGGGAGTGGAGTCTCCAAACTGTCCACTGGAGAATCAATAATCTACTCTGATATTGTCACCCAGACGACAACCACGAGCACACTGAGTTTCGGAGTGGCTATTATGATGTTCCCAAGAGCATCAAAGGCTCTCTTACAGTGGGAACCAATCTCCTCAACGATCATGATCATGACGGCAAGATTCAACTCAAAAGGAAGGAAGGTTACAATCATACAATGCTATGCACCCACAAATAATTCAGATGAAGAGAAGAAGGAGGAATTCTACAGACAACTTCAGTCAACACTGGACAAGACGTCAGTT